ATAACAGGGTTCCAAATCACCAGAGCTGGAATGATTTGAGCAACAAAAAAAAATAATGTAGGATTGGATTATTACCCAAAATAATAAAATAAATATCTATGAGTCCATACTGATATAAGGAATTGAATAAATTAACAAGTGGGGGAGAATAGACAAATAACTCATGCTGAAGAATTCTGAATAGTTTATGTAGCTACTCTCCAACTTTCAGGTGGCAGAACATGAAGAAAGAAGGAAAAAAGAGTACTTTTACAGTGGGGAACATGACAAGTGTTATCTCAAGTCAGGTGATCAGAGTTCGCATCAACCAAGGTCATGCTGATGGATCTTTAAGTGATGTGATGAGTTCAGCCGATAGCTCTGTGGTCTTCCTGTCAATATCACATGACTCCATGATAAAGACCTCAGGCAAATCCCAGCTGAGGAATGTTCTATATGATAACTGACCTCAAAGCTGTCAAAACCACCAAAAATTAAGAACATCTAAGAAACTGTCACAACTAAGAAAAGTCTAAGAATACATGCCTACCAGGTGTAATTTAGGGTTTTAGATGAGATCCTGGCATAGAAAAGGACATTAGGGAAAAATTAAGAATGGACATTAATCATAATATATCCATACTGGTTCATTAATTGTGACAAATGCACTATATAAACGTAGGATGTTAGTAACACAGTAATGGTGAGGGATAGACAGGGATTCTCTGTGCTATCTTCACAGTTTTTCTGTAAATCTAAAACTGCTCTAAAAGAAGTTTATTTAAAGAATGGATTTGAAGCCAAGAGGCTGAAACTTGGTATGTGGCAGATGTTAATGTCCTTCAGAGAGTATTCACCCCTGAAAGAGGCACTAAATTAGCAAAGGACACAATGCTTTGGTCCATTCATCTCAGCCAGTCCCTGACAGCAACCATCCCAGTAAAGGCACAAAGGGCACAGTGTTAGGAAGGAAGGCCACCCATGGCCATCAGCGTGCTCTCCGACTTACCAAGGCTGATCCTGCTTTCTCCACTCCTGAATGTCCAACCTGTCCATTACAGGGGCCAATAACGAGCCCTTGGTGTGGCACCATTTTTCAAGGAAGCAAAATGGCCACTTGGTGTCAAGTTGACTATACTGGACCCCTTTTATGCACCCAATCCTGCTTCCTTTTCTTCTCCCCCACAGATATTCATCCCAAGGGCACTCCTTAATAAGCATCTTACATGCTGATCTCCATCCCAACACCTGCTTCTCAGGAAACCTAACCTGTGACAAGGGTCTGCTAAGTGTCAGGATCTATGCCCAGTGACTTGGACCCGTCTTCTTGGTTACTCCCCACTACACCCTGTGAGAAGTTTTGCATGGTGGCTACTTTTAAGTAGCCACTAGGGCAGGAAGCCTCAAAGGCTAATTAACTTTCCCAGAGTTCTATCCCTTCTACGTTCAATTGGCTCCAAAGCCATGCCTGGGAAATCTACCAGGCTAAGCTACAGCTATTGTAGGAAAAAAGGAAAGGACACTAACAATCATTTCCTACCATAGACCAGACATCGTGCTTGCCATATGCCATTCAGTTTTCCAGCAACCCAACTGCTGTACAGAGTGGTATCCCCACACTCATACATCTATAAAACCAAGTGTAAGAGGCAAAGTTGGTTCTGGGACCCAGGCCTGTCTGCTCCCAAAGGCAGTGCATTCTCCTATTTGTCAAGCTGTTTACCCTAAGATGGAGAGCCATCCAGGGACAGCATGAGAGACTGGAGGCCCTGAGACACACGTTTACCTAGAAGCAGCCCAAGCTTGCAATATTCACTGAAATATCTACCATGAAGATGGGCATCATCTTTCTCACAGCGAACTTTAGAAACTAAACTCTGTGGTTACCTATAATAAGGGGGCCTATATAATTTTTTATCTGAAGCGTGACACTTGAGAGTGTCATGGGAAAACAGGAGCAAACCAGGAGGGCCATGGGAAAACAGAAATGCTCATGCTACAGCTGAGGAAAAAAACATATTTCTTTGGTGCCATTCTTTGTTTGCATGTGGCTGGTGCCTCTAACTAAACCAATCTATAAGTTGGGTTTTAGGGGAGAGTACTTGAGAGAGATTCTCTGGCTGACCTTAACTTTAATGTATTAAATTTTCTCTAACAAATTCAACCATGATCCTGGCCTCTTAATCACACAGCCACTTGAGTTCCACTCTGATATAAATACTGTGCATTTCCGATTTGTGGAATTGTTTTCCTTTAATTAAATGAAGGGGGAAGTTGTGGTTATTTTCAACTCTCTGCACAAATTACTACCCAGTAGAAACCGAATAATGTATTGTAAGTAGTACTTATTCTATTTATCGCACCATCATTGATGTGTGTTGGGCTTGTTCTATTTTGGAGGCACTGCCATGGTAACTGGGCTCCTGACAAAGGCCTGTGTCAGAGCAAAGCTTGAACATGCAGAACTTCAGATAAGTGATGAAATAAAGAATCAACATCAGCAGGCTCAGAAATAATAACCTGGGGGATCATGCTTTGCTTCTGGGTGTATTTGTTGATAAAAATGAGAAGTCCTGAGAGGCAGTGCCTAGGATTTACTGGACCCTGAATTGGTCCTGAGCAAAATGGTGGAAGAAAATCTCTTTTTACAGTCTTTTAGCTTCCCTGTCAATGTACGTGGCTTTGCATTTTGTTCCACATTGGTCTTTGGGTCAGGCTCACAGTTTCAGGCAGTTAGTAGAAGCTGGTGTTCAGTCTTCAGAGAGCTAGGTTGGTTCTAGAGGACTAGCCTTGAGTCCACAAACCTGAGATGTGGCCCTGGCTTTGCCCTTGACTAGCTGTGGGCTCTCCAAAACTGGGGTTCTGTTTTCCACCTATTCACTTGGATGGGCTTGGGGGGCCTGGGAGCTCTAACCTCCATGTCCCTCCTGAAGCTGGTGCAAAGGGAAGGCAAAGAAGAATCCTGATTCACCTTTTCTGGTAGAACTAACAGATTCCTGGTTCCTGCAGGGAGTGGGCACCTAAGCTATGCTGTCTGTAGTCCACCTCACCAGGGACTGAAGGCACCAGAAGAAAGCCCACAAGAGCAAATCTTTCCCAGTGGGATTTTCCATTGAATTTTGCTTAGAAACATCAGTCCAGTCACTTTCCAATTTATCACTTCTGAAGAGTTAATGGAGGAACACCAGCAGCGACCAGATCCTGCTCTGGGTTCTTCCTCTTCCCCCACACCCTCCCCTCCTCTCAGCCCAGACTTGGTGTAGCCCCTGATTTGGGTCTAGAGGTGTCAAGGAGCTCATGTGTTCATGGGAGGCTAGGGGCCCCTCCATAGAACTGGTCCTGAGATTCAGAGTCACAGTGAGAATTCTTTCTTCTCCTTTTCCACCAGTGTTTTAGCCAATTTTCATGGCTTCATGAGCTACATTGTTCAGGCTTGAATTCCATCTAGAAGCAAGATGATCACCACCTCTCAGGAGCCTGCTCCAAAGGACTGAAAATGGACAGCTTGACAAGGCTTTATGGTTGGCCATAGCCTCAGAGGGGGGCTGATGGAAAAGGTGTCATCTGTATGGATGTCCTGACCCAAGGAATAGTGAACCAGAGCACAGTCTGAGGAGGGAAAATGGAGGGATTTCCTTGCTTATTAAAGAAACAGCCTCTTGGCTAAAATAGAATTTTGAGATTATCTAAGAATCGCCTCTTCTCATCAGAGCCATCATTTCCTACACCCTATATCTGAGAGGTAGCTAGAAACTTAGCATGGAAGGGTGGGCTTTGGTGACCTGCCTGTTCTTTCAGTCAATGTGCCTGCAAAAATGCATCACCATCCCACCTCCCCATCCTTGCAGTCTCCCCTCCCCAACCCCCAAAACATTTCTGTCATTGGCATTCCCATTGACCCTGCCTTGTTCCCAAGCCTCAGTCAGGAGGTTTGACGCTCTCAAGAATTTCCAAAGTTGAGGGGCCCCTGGGTCAGAAATAACAGATGTGGGCCTGGTTTTAGAGCAGACCCAGATCTCCTCACCTCTCTCACCTTTTCAGTTTTCTCTGATTGATAATGGAAATCCCACAACTCCCTTTGATCCTGCTTCTATTTCTTTTACCCCAAATATCCCTCTCCCATAAACAACAGAAACGACTGCCTTCCCACTCAACAGCCTTCTCTCCTGAGATCCTAGGTATTTCCAGTTAGGGAAGCCAGCTATCAGGCCTGGCTCATACTTTTCCTCCCTCATTTTATCAATTCTTCCTCCAATTTGTCAAGTATTTCCTGCCTCACTGACACATTTGCTGAGGGGCAGAGTTGGAGATTAAGGAGGCCCTGGAACAGCAGGTATGGAAATCTGTTTTAACTAGCATATTTTTAGGTTAAATTAGCAAACTAAGATGCCCAGTGACTGTAATCATTTGACTTTCCTAGAAGGCCGAGTTCACAATTTGGAAAAAAAATTAGAAGAAGAAAAAAAGAAGGAAGGAAGGGAGGGAGAAAAGAGTGTTTGAATGTCTACACCTGGGGTGAATACGTGTAAAGGCAGGAGAGGCCAAGGAGGAAGTAGGGCCCTGGACACATTCCCAATAAACTTGGAAGAGGAAGACCAAGATGGGACTCTGTATTTTTAGGGGTGATGGAACACTTCCGGTGTGTGAAGGCATGAAATGTTAATTATAGGACCTGTGGATGTCAGCAGAGATCTTTTAAAAGAATAACTTAAGTGCCTAAAATCCCCCCAAGAATACAGAGCCCGTTTTAGAAATGGCCATCAAAGACAACAAAAGCGAAATGCGCAAATGCCTTCTACGCAGGGTGGTGCTGGGCAACCAGCTCCTCCCCCGGCCTCCCTCCACGCTGTTGCTAGGAGACAGAAGGGCTACACTTCCATCATCTCCATACTTGCTGGGAGATTGAGTAATTGGTCTCTGGATGTGCGTGCGCTGCTTCCCAAAATATCTCTTTAAAAAGACATGAGAGAGATGTGGAGCCAGTCAAGAAGATGATGGGGGGCGGACTGTGTCCCCAGAGGGCAGCGGGTTCCAGGAGCCAAAACTGAAGCTGGCTGGGGGAAAGAAGGACCCACGTGGGGGACAGAAATGGAGAGCTGTTACCAGCTTTCCCGCATTCTTTCTCACCCTCAGGTTTGTTATTTGGGACTGATCTCCTAAGTAGAGGCTGGAAATTGGTGGGGCAACTGAAATTTAGAGAGACATTCTGGTTGGCTTTTCATTCTAACTATTGAGTCACAGCAACAGAAATACTTTAATTTTAATTTGTAGCTATTTAAAATGTACATGCACAAACTTTATAGTGTTCAGTTACAGGTGTTGAACCCCATTTTGTGGGGAAGGGGGTGAAGGGAGAAAATAGGGCATGCAGGGGACATACAGCCCCACACGCCTGCACACAGGCCACTGCATAAGAACCCCAGCTTCAGCTGCAGGGAGAACAAAGAAATATAACATTAAGACTCTTGCTGTAGGGTCTCTGGGAGTTAGGAAACCCAGGGATGAGATTCAGTAGTGCTCCCAACAGCTACACGACTATTCATGACCCTTCTGCACCTCAGTTTCTTCATCTGTGACCCGACAGGAAGGAGCTAGTACATCCCTAAATTACTCTCCAAATCTACAGTTTTATGGGCATGTACCTCTAGTCCCACCTTCTCTTCACAGCCAAGGGACAATGTGACATCTCAATTCTTTGCAGAGGTTTTCAATTCTCTCCTTTAATTAATGAGGAAAAGCTGGTTGATTCCTGCAATTTGCATTTTTTTTTCAATATCTGTTCAATTACCATTGCTGCATGTCTTGAAGAGCAGATATGGAAGTGGAATAACTGACTTTTGGCTTCTATTATTTTCCTTTGTGTCACACTCTTCATACAAAATCTAACATGCTCAAAAATCCAGTTCTTAATAGCATCAGCTTTTTTTCTCTTTTTTTAACTGGGGGAAGAGGTTAGAAGGAAGCAAGAGATTCAGAATATATTGACACTATATCTTGATCTTCTAAATGAGAACTAAGAATCCAGGAGTTTTCCCTAAAGTCACTGGCCAGATGACTGAGTATTCTAAAATTCTTTCAAGAATTAGTAAATTTGCTGTCTAGTTCCCTAGCTCACAGACTGTGGCCAGACCCTTATCTGTAAAATGGGGGGAAAAAAGACGGTGTGCTTCAATCCTCATAGGAATGTTAAGAGGCAAAATGACACAATGTATGTAAATGCACTTTGGAATGTAGAAAGGGTGCACAGAATGCTTTGCATTTTTTTCACTGCATGTCTGAGAAATTTATTCATTTATTCAGAGAGCATTTGCTGAGGTAGTGTTGCCACCAGGCCCCCGTCAGGTATTCATTCATGTGCACATGCACATGGTCAGTGTTTTCCATTGTCCACCCTGCTCCACAGTCACAGGGCGAGTGACTCCCAGTTACTACAGATAACTGAATTCTCAACGACCGCGCCCCCGAATACTAGACATTCTCTTAGGCTGAACCTTTGCACAATGTGAAAAATGCTCTCAAATCACTCCCACGAGTGTCTGTCTTATTTTGTTCTCAAACACTCTCAGTGACACAAACCTCAGACACTTTACTTCCTGTGCTAATGAATGCCAGCGCCTAATCATTGTACAAGCAGATGTTCCTTAGGAAAAACAAATAAAATTCAGACTATCTTTAGGATGGCAAACACCCCCACCCTTGGGTGAGCAGACAAATGAGAAATGCCTCTCACCTTTTTTTCTCTCATCAGAGATGGCAAAGCTCACGGTCCTACGGAAGGTCTGAATTCCCTCATTTTCCTTGTTTTTAACCGCACCTGGGGAGATTTTAGTCACCCTTGGATAAAAGGGCTGTGGAGCTCCCTAAGTTGTCTTGACACCACTGACAACTGATCCGAACTGTGGAAAAGAGGAGACTCTCTCCACTTCAGTCTATTGGATCCCTTAAAAAGTTATGCTGTCCTTGTGCTAAGAATGAGTTGAAGCTTGGAGACTAGCTTGAGAGAATGAGCTGGTGTAAAAAAAAGAGGAATCAGGGAATTTGGGGCTGGGCACCAGGCAGAGCTGGGTTCCTTGCCCTTTCTTCTGAGTATTTGGCATGCATTCTAGAGTTTTCTGTAGGGGGATGGATGGAGGAGGAAGAGCACAAGTGAGTCATGAAGGGATGCCAAGAAATCATGAATAAGAGTTATTCTGTGCACACCCAGGAGAGCTGAGCCCATGGGAGGCAGATGGCCGGACCAGGAGGAAGTGCTTACTATGGAAGCTCTGTAAAATGCAAACGGACCAGAGAGGTGGGTGGGTGGAGAGCAGGGCAGGAGGAGGTGTTCAAATACATTCCCTCTCACTAGGGCTGGACCCCCTGGCAAAGATGTGCAGAAGATTGTCTTCTGTGGATCTGAGATGCTACAGAAGATCCAGGAGGGCCATTGTAATCCCTATACATCCCCTATGCTACAGCCATGATTTGTCTCCAGAAAGGTCTGTATCTGAACCAACTATGACAGTATTGAATAACTTTGCAAAGAGCTTTTTGAAAGTCCACTGTGGAAAAGTCCCCTGGTCAGGATGAATTGACCAAAAATTGCCATCATCCTAAAGATGCTACAGAATTATTTTTATGCTTTTTCATTCAGCATAATTGCCTATTCCAGCAAGTGTAGAGGGACCTTAATCTCTTACTTCTGAAGATTTGGATTTTTCTTTGAAGGGAAACTGCCATGGTAACTCAGTCATCCACCTGAAATTTAAACCTAGCCAATTTATCTTCATTCATGGTAACCTTGTTTTAGCTGATCAGGACTCATTGATTGATTGATTGCCTTAAGCACTGGGTCATAACTGGTTTTCATGAAGCTTTGTAGGAAACTTCTTTTCTGAGAGAACATGTAGTTCACTACTTGACCTCTGGGATACTGATGATCTACTTTTCAAAGCGCTCTAGTGCTCCATCTAACATTCTTGACCTAAAGTTCTAGGACCTTCTCTGTCTGGCTCACTGTATGCTCTTTTTTGAGTGAAATTTTAGGTCAACACCAGGTATTTCTGTCTGACGGTTGAAATTCTGGGACCAACCCTTATCATCTCCTGGAACAACACTTCTCTACCCTATTTGAACAGTAGAAACACCTAGAGAATTTGAAACAAAAAACAAAACAAAACAAAAAGCAACCCTGTGTCTTGCCCCACTCAGACTGATAGAACTAATTCAGGGAGCAGCTTAAGCTTCCACATTTTTCAAAGTGCTCCAAATGATTCTGATCAATAACAAAAGCTAAGAAGAACTGCTCTTAATATTCGTCTTGCCAGAAAAATAAGACTGTGTGAAGAGAACCTTCATCTCATATTAGGAAAGAAAGCTTTGATATTTCCAGGAAAATTGGAAGACTGAGCAGGTGCACAAAGCCTCCCACTTGGTTCTGAACACGCATATTTATATTGATAAAATATAACAAAAAGGGAGAAAGGAAAAGAAAAACCCACAGGAGCCAAATGGAACTAAAAGCCAAATGAAGGTCTTGGAGGCAAAGCCTTGAGAGCAGATCGTCCTAATGCCAAGTGGATCAGGGCCAGGGAGGCGGTGGGCTCTGGACGTGGCCGTGGTGTGTCTGAGGATATCTATCCTAGACGTGGGATTCTCAGCTGTGGCACGAAGATCCACTGAATTGTGATGGATAGGAAATTAGAAACTTTTCTCATATTTCCTGGGTATCAGTGCACCCTTAATTGCCCCTGAAGGATGACAACTTGAGTCACATATAACCCGATTTAAAGGAAATGAAGAAAGTGGCGTTTCCTGCACTGGGGTTGCTATTCACAAATCCCTATTTACTATAGGGGAAAAGGGTAAGTTGTCCACAGGGAGGTTGATGCTGTCTGTGTGGCAGTTGATTTGGGAGGTTGGTACTGTCTGTGTGGCAGTTGACTTTAAAATCACTGCCCAGATTTCACTTCCTAACTCTCTAGTCTCCTTGAATCTTGAATCTTGGCATTAGGTCCCACTGATAACTTCATTCCTATAGGGCTGGGCTGTTGAATTGCTTTCTACCACTACCAAGGGCCTGGAGCTTAGACCCTAAACACCACAGCACATGGTCAGCCTGGCAGGGCTTCCCTGTGCCAACTAAGTGTTTGCCTTTCTACCTATTGCCTGTAACCCCTGATTTTGAGGATTATGTAACTACCTTCCCGGCAAATAGTAAGCACTTTATTTACTGGTCAATTTCCTTTGACCTAACTTTTTGGTAAGTTTCTTAAGTCCCAGTGCTCAGTTTTCGCATCTGCAAATTGGAGATAATCATAGCACCTTCCTTTCAGTGTGATGTAAGAGGTGGCTGAGTTAACATACAGCAGTGAGATGATTGGTGGCATCCAAAAAGATGTGCCCATGTAGTGATCCCTGGAACCTGTACGCGTGACCTTACAAGGCAAAAGACGTAAGGATCTTGAGAGGAAAGGTTTATCCTGGACTCTCCGGGTTAACCTTAAATGCAACCCCATGTATCCTTATACAACAGACACACAGAGCAGAGGTCTCACAAAGAGGAGGAGGAGGCAGAGAATGGTGTGATGTGGACATGGGCCAAGGGACCTTGGAAGCCACCGGAAGCTGGAACAGATAAGGAACAGATGCACCCTTAGAGTCTCCAGGGGCAGTGAGGCTTCACTGATGCCTCACTTTCAGACTTCTGGCCTCCAGAACCAGGAAAGAATCCATTTCTGTTGTTTTAAGCTTCTCCATTTGTGGGACTATGTTGCAGCTGCCACAGGAATACGTAACACCCTGACATGCAGTAAGCATTTGTTTCAGTAGTCAGTCTCTTCTAAAGTGAGGATGCCTGTTTTAACGTGGTTACTAATCACAATAGTTCACGTGTGTTCTCATCCAGGAAAGCAGGTATCCCTATGGCTAAGTGAAAGGAATATGCTTGAGAGAAAACTGGACAGGGTCTAGAGAGGAGCAGGTGAGAGTGCTGGAAAGCTTAACTTTCAGTTTGGAATTTAAATTGATACCACTGTGACTGTACCAATAGTAGGAATCTAAAATGTAGTCTGGTAGAGGTTTGGCTCTTTAATGGATTCTGGCTGCCCAGGGTGTCAGTGAAGGTTTAACCTTCATCCTTTAACCCACTTTCTCTGCATGGATATACCCTTCCATCCCATAGAGTCACACACGATTCTTTTTGGACTTTCAGACAAGTTGTTTCCCTCCTTTACCCAGCTTTGAATTCCCTTGCTGAGTTTTAACCCGTTTTTTTTTTTTTTAACTCAAGGGAAACTTAGCCGCACCAGTGGGAAGGGTGTTTTCATGAGGCAATGTTCCTGAGGAGTTGAATTTGGAAACAGTCTACTGCAAAACTTTATGGTCCTGAAGCCTCCATCAGGAATGTGGCCCAGACGTCTCCTGTGCCTCTCAGAGGACATCAGGGAAGAGGCCAGACCTTGAGAAACATAACCATGAGATGCTGAGAAATAAAAGTGTGGGTGGGTGGCTCTGAGACGCTGGCTATACCACCTGTGTCTTGTCCTCCTTCCCCTTCTAGGTGGAAGCACTGGTTAAGAGAGAGGCCAAGAGGGTGTGGCATTTTCAGTTCAGGTCATTATGATCCTCAAAGCTACCCCAACTCTAGGATGCCACAATGCACAGCATTTCTCTTGGTAGAGTTCTTAGGTCTGATCTGTTGAAATCTTGGTGATTCATCTTCCCACTGTGTGCTGTCCAACACGGGAGCCATGAGCCATCATGTCACTACTCAAATGTAAACCAACTGAAGTTAAATCAAATTCAAAATTCAGCTCTTCAGCCACACTGCCATATTTCAAGGGCCAACTAGCCATACCGGACAGTGTGCAGACAGAAGTGCAGAAAGTCCTGTTGGACAGTGATGTTCTAGTTATTCGAGATACAAGTTGAAAAGGGTCAGGTTATGAAGGTGTCAACCAGGGACTTTGTACCAAAGGCCACTTACTCTCATTACCTTCAGTGAACACTGCAGGCATCTTCAGTGACAGACAGACAGACAGATGGAAAAAGGACCACACCATGCCTTATGAAAATTTGATACATATTTAAAGCAATCATGTCATTTCCAGTCTCTCTTTTGGAGGGATGTTATTTATTGTAAGACATCATTTTTATTAAATACACTGTAATACAAGAGACTTTCCATGTCAGGTTGAGAGAAGCTGGTCACATGATTCACAAATAAAACTTTTTTTTTTTTTAACACTGATATTCTGGTGTCACTTTGAAATCAGCCAAGATGCAGTGGGTCTTAGTAAAGCAATGGACCTCAAAACAGATTGCAAAACAAGAACCAGTAAGTATCAGCACAGAGACGTCACATTAAAAAGAAAAAATAAAGCAAATGAGAAGAGTGTTTCAAATACCAGGTCACAATTTAAGGGGCAATATATTCTCAGAGAGACAGTGAAATATGTGTGGTGTTTGTGTGTGTGTGTGTGTGTGTGTGTGTGTGTGTGTGTGCACAGCCCAGATATATACAAACATCTCTCCATGTACAGAAGCAAATGCAGAGAGAGTCCACATCTCTAGGCAGTTCTGTAAGTGATAGGTAATGATCAATGAAGGCAGGGAGCAATATTTCACCATAATTTGGTCATTTGTCAGGGGATTACAGATTTAAAATCCACATTTAATTCAAAGACCTTGTATTTAAAAACATGTCCAGTTGTTTTATACATTTTTAAAGCAATAGTAAGATATACAAGCTGCAAGATGTAGGCCATTTTACATTTCATTTCATTTTCTCTAATTTCTTTATCCAGTTCAAACATGTGGCTATTAGCAGCGTTTATTATGCTTGCTCCAGGAGGTTGGATCAGCCAACCTTCACTCAGCATCATTTTTAGTAATGCACAGACAAAATAAATAAAACAAACATGGACCTGGCCTAGAATGCATAGACTTAAAAAATGACATCCCCATGTTTTCCCATGTCGTCTCCTGAGACGTATGTTAAGATGGCAAAATAGTTGCTTGGTTGCTGTTGTGAAGTTCACAGTGTTTTGCCTGCAACACATATACATATATATAAATTTTTTTGCTTTGCTTTGTGTTTGTGATGAATGGAGCATAAATAAATAAATAAATAAATAAATAAAATTTATTTATTTATTTATTTATTTATTTATTTAACAAAAGTAAATAAATAAAAGGAAAAGGGAAAACATGCAAAACGCTAAGAATATTCAAGAACCTTGGACTTGAGCAGCAGTGATCCATTCCAGCCCTGACAAGAAAATACCCCTCATGTGCTGTCTTACTTAACTACAAATCCCTCCCACCACTAATTCTTTAGAGTAATACCTGCTTTCACAGCCTGGGAGTCTCCTCATTCCACAATTACACATTGGGAAGAAACTGCTTTAACTCTCACTTAGCCATCTGAGAAGTGGGGTCACTGGCCATTCCTCTGGTGAGATATTCTGTAACAGCGATGTAGGGCCAAACCAGAGCTCAACATTGGAAATAAAAGCCCATACGTGAGAGAAAAACACAAATACGAGAATTGAGAGGGTTGTGTGTATGCAATCTTCTGTGTGGTTAGATACAGAATTTAATGTTACTGGTGTTATAGAAGGTCCAATTTGCAAAAAGAAAAGTGTCTTTCTGACCAGGGGTCCTTTTTGTCATGGCTCTTTGCAAAGGACAGCATTTAACACGGTTGTGGCTTACATCCTCACTCAGGTGCAGAGCTCCTAGGAGCCACTCACCTCGCTATGGGGTCTTGGATTTCTCACCATTGGCCTTCAAGACACTGGGCTTCCAACATTCCAGTTCTCTTCTGGAATGCCTGGGCTCTGGACACCAGTGTAAAGGATCACAGTGGGATAAGGTGAGCATAATAAAAATGTGCAAAAAGATGAAAAAAAAATTTCCCTTCCTAGACCTTTACATAAGGAGACCAATTTCAGTCTGCATTTTTCTTTGAAAGGAGCCAGAGAAAGGACACTGTGTAGTAGGATGGCTTTGATTCAGTTGTTTCCGGAAGCTCATTATCTTAAATATGTCTTCCACCCATGCAGTACTGCACAGAGTTGAGAAGTATGATGTGGTCCTATGCACATGGAGAACGGAAGCACTAATGGCAACATTACGTTAAAAAGTTTTGGTTATTTTGCAGATTTTAAGCAAATTATTCATACTGCACCCTACTTACAATTATCTCTATTACCATGTGCCTATAAATTTATACGTAAGTACACAAACACTGCGTATTTGTGTTTGGATATGTATAAATCGATTTATAACATACATATAAATACAGGGAGTGCTGATATGGACACATATGTATAATGCTTTATAGCATAGTTCAAAACATTTTCTAAATAAGCCTGATTATGATATTGGTTCAGGGTACAAGGATTTAGAGGATGCTATGAGCATGACTGTACATCTTGGTATCTCAGCTGCTTGTCATCTGAGGCATTCATTTTGTTCTAACTTCATGTACTGCTTCATGAATTTGTTAGCCTGCTTTCTTTCCTAGACTGCTTATTTGTATACTGGAGTCTCTAGTGGACAGAATCATGAACTTCAGAGTCAGAACACTCAGTCCCAGTGATGCCCGAAGCTAACCTGCAGATGTCTAGCATGCCATTTAACTTCTCCGAGTCTCACCTTCCTCACCTATCAAAATATGGGCATAATTTACTAACGTATGTGAAAAGCATTCGGAAACTATTAAATACTTTGTAAATGGAAACAAAGTTTGGCCTAGAAAATTAGGTTTGTCACTAATACTGTTGTAGCTTTGAACACATTTCATGGGAGGCCATATTCTGTGATTGTTACATTTTAGAATAAAAATGCTGCTTTCCTAAAAACTTAAAAAGCATGAGAAGAGGTGAAGGAACAGTGATGAATATTGTAAGATATTCTGTGGTTCACTTAGCTACTTTGAAAGCAATCTTGTATTCTTTCAATGCAGGATGTCTCTGAAATCAGTACATACTCCTGAGACAACAGAGGAAAAAATAAAAATAATAATAATCAGCAGTATAAATAAATATAAAACTTTGCACTTGCATAGAACCTTTCATTTCAAGACCTTGAGGGACTTGTCAGAAGGCAAGGAGAAATTTTCTTTTTTTTTGCTTTTCTCCTCCAAAGGAAAACACTACACTGGAATGGAATGGAATGCTCCCCTCTTTTAATTTGCTTTAAACAAATCCTTCTTCCAAAATTGCACGGTCCTCCTAGAATTTGATCCCTTAATATATTACCTCTTTTGCTCTCTGGTAAAATAAGTACCTCACAGCTTCTTCCCCCAGAGCAGCTGGCCAGTCACCCAGAATGACAAACCTGTATAGGTTTTCAGACCATCGCTGATGGAATCTAGAAAGGTTTTGTACAAATCTGCCCCTTCTTTACTGCTTCACAGAGTGCCACGGTGTTTTTAACAGTACCATGGGTCCTTAATAAGATATATACGTGCAGGTATATATCATGGAGATATGGCTTTCATTATATTATTATGTGTATTCTGGAGGGGTGTTTTTTCACTGACAAAGAGAACAAACAACTTGACTGCCATGTCTCATTGGCCAGCACAAACCTGCAGGGACTGTAGGGTTTGTCTCATTCCAACCCCCTTCACTTGTCCACAGATGGCTACTGGATTTCCTTTTGTTGTCTGTTAATTGACATGTTTGGTTTTTTTGAGAACTGGTGTTTGAAGCTTATAATGGAAAATAAAGTGCTCCAGTCATAAAGCAAAACCTAAGTAGAGCAATTGTGCCTTCAGAAACAAATAGGAAATAAAATGACTTAAGGTGAATTAAAATCACTCCCTTTCAATCTGGCTTGTGTTGTAAAGAAGTCAAGTTAGCAAAAATACCCTCACAGAGGGTAGCAAGTTTTCTTGAGGAACAGAAACAATTTTCTTCCTTAGTATAACTGGTCATCAAACAACTGCAAATTTCTGTTGAAATTTACAACCTCTTTTCACAAAACCCGTGTCTATACCCAGAAGCACACCTCCAAAACTTGGTCTGGGCATAGCCTCCCATTGGCATGCTGTGCCTAATTTTTTATTTTTACTTCTTTTAATGGAGTGAAGAAAACAAAACAGCATACTGACAACGGAGTACACTTGGAATGAAACCACTCTCCCAACCAGAGCCTAGAGCACGGTCTTGGCCTGTGTACACTGAACGGCAATGCATGTGATGTCCCAGGGCGAGTCGGCTCTCCCTCGGGGCTTGATGCAGCCCTTCTCACAGACAGTTCCACCGTGGGTTTGAGGGGGTGAGGACATCCAGGCTTCAGAGTCCATATTCGTTAAAACCCATCGCCACCGTATGACCTAGAAACGTTTATACTGAGCTAATGAACTCCATTAGCTTCCCTAAGTATATAAGGTATGTACCTCTTACGGATCTGCTCTACATACTGGATCACGACGTCTGGAGCAGTAGTTTCTGCACACAAGGTAGTAATCAACAGAGACCATGCACGATTTTACTTGCACATTTAAAAGAATGGAATGGGTTGGAGGGTAGAGGTCGGAGGGAAGTGCTATCTGAAAAGTTCAATGTAAGAGAAACTTGCCTCCAAATTTATAGCTTGTCCCATCTGTTCCAAGTCCTTGGCTTTCCCACCTGACTTGAAATGACCTCTGGACCAGAATACACCACTTTCCAAAAGAACTTGACAAAACCTCGGTGGATAACACTTGGAAAAACAATCCAGTGCCATCACCTGGATCTATAAAGACCATCTGAGCATTGGAGGCGCCATCTCGTGTCTCATGAAGCCAACTTTTCTGTCCACTACACTCTAGTGTTTCTGGTGATGGGAAAAGAATAGTCCATGGCACAGAGTTTAACAGTCTTTTTACTCCTCAAATAGGTCCTCAGGGGAAGGTGCCAGATATATCCCTCCCAGCGAACAGTTGCTGGTTTTCTCCTAAGGACTGAAGCCGGCTCATCCCAGGGGTTGTCTTTGTTCCTCCCATACTGCAGTTTATCATAAATCTTCTTTCTCTCTGGTTTTAATCTCCCATAGATAAAGGCTTCCCAGGTGGAACACAAATTTTCCTTTTTCATACACAGGCTTAAGCCATCCCAAAACAATAACAGTAATAATAATAAATAAATAGAAGTGAATCCATAGAAACTCTCGATGTCTGTACAGCAGAAGTGACAAAGTTTAAGTCAAATATTTGATTTCCCTTTTTTTCATCCACATCAAAGGCAGGAATACAACAAGGCATTGTTAGTTGTGGTGGGCAAACTGGAGTGTCTGCTGATAGAACAAATTAGGTTGGTTAAGGCCTTTGTCTATGCAGAGTTAATAGTAATGCAGAAGCCAGATTGATTCCGAAAGAAGGGGTAAGGACTGTGAAGCAGGGAAGACAAAAAAAGGAAAAAGAAAACAAAAACTAGGAAACAAACCAAAGGAGATGACAAGAGAGACAAGAGATAATGCCAAAAAGAGGTCCACACTGCGTCTACGGATGGGAAGTCCACACCGCTTCCCTCCAGAAGCCTTCGGGGTCTTGGTTGTTCATACTGTCAGAGTGGAGAACAGCAGACTGATGGTGTCCAGCAGCTCTTGAAAGACGTTCATCCTCTCGGCCCATCTGCGGAGGTACTTTGGGAAGGATCGGTCTGGGGAAAAAGGCCCTAGCCTAGAATGTCCAGGTAGACCGGAGATGCCTTGGCCAAGTTCTGAAGGAGGGTGTGGATGCCTTTGATGTTCTTCCTCATGTGGGGCTCTCGCTGCCAGCACCCCAGCATCAGCTCGTAGACCTCCTGGGGGCACGTTCGAGGTCGCTGTAAGACTCGGCCCTGAGTGATACATTCTATCACCTGGACGGGGTGGAGAGCAAAGGTAGGATCAGACAAGAGGAAAAACAATGCAGATAAAGCAGAGGTCAGTGCTGCGAGAGGGCTGCTCGAAAGAACCCGCTCAGGATAACATTTCAGAAGGAAGAGAGCAGTTGGTATGGGTTGGTATATATCATGGTTCATCTGATTGGTTCATATCCATTTTTCAAGCCACACAGATTTCACCAAACTGGTGGTGAAGTAACTTATCTGCAGGGAATGCTCCCAAACGTCGCCCTGGAATTCCAGTGTGTTTTGGTTGT